CAGAGCCACGCGGGCTTGCCAGTCCTGGCCAGGCTCCCACTGCACGAACAACTTCCTTCCGGCCTCCACTGCCATGGTAGCAGCCACAGCACAGCGCACTCGCCAGCACGAACCCGAGCGTGAACGACACCAGCGCTAGCCAACGGGCCCCGCCGAAGAGGTCCACGACAGCAACGCACTGACCAGTGTTGGCCACCACTGGCGACAGGAGATCGCGAAGACTCTCGGAAGCTTCCCAGCCTCGATGGGCCAGCTGGGCAAGAAAGGAAAGCCTCATGCGGCAAGGCCGCCAATTAATGCACTTGAGCGAGATGCCAACGGACGTGGGCTTCTGACAACGGGCGGCTGCACTAAACGTGTTCAGAGCACGAACGTTTCAAAAACTGAGATACATACATACATACATACATACATACATACATACATACATACATACATGCATGCATGCATGCATGCATGCATGCATGCATACGTACATACATACATACATACATACATACATACATACATACATACATACATACATACATACATACACACACCCATACATGCATGCATGCATGCATGCATGCATGCATGCATGCATACATACATACATACATACATACGTCCTACATGCATGCATACATGCATGCCTACATGCATGCATGCGTGCATGCATACATGCACACATACATGCATACATACATATATACATGCATACATACATTCATACATACCTACATGCATGCATGCATACATGCATGCATGCATGCATGCATACATACATACACATGTATACACATACATACATACATACATACATACATACATACATACATACAGACAGACAGACAGACATACATACATACATTCATACAGACACACATACATACACACATACATACATACATCCATGCATGCATGCATACATACATACATACACCTAGATGTGTACATGCATACATACATACATACATACATACATACATACATACATACATACATACGTACATACACACATACATACATACATGCATACACACATTCATACACACATACATACACACGTACATACATACGTACGTACGTACATACATGCACATCGTCATCCATACATACATACATACAGACATGCATGCATGCATACATACATACATGCATGCATACATATATGCATGCATACATACATACATGCAGACATATATATATATATACATGCATGCATACATACACAGATTTACATATAGGCAGACAGGCAGACTGCAGACAGACAGAGAGACAGACAGACAGACAGACAGACAGACAGACAGACAGACAGACAGACAGACAGACAGACCGACCGACCGACAGACACATACATATACATACATACATACATACATACATTCATACATACATACATACATACATACATACATACATACATGCATGCATGCATGCATACATACATACATACATACATACATACATACATACATACATACATACATACATATGTCCCCAGGGCCCAGATGTGTCCAGATCCACCGTCTGCCGAGGTCCCCGAAGATTGATCCCCCAGGCAGCGGTTAGGTTAGATCCCCGCGCGCCAACTATACAACTACACCGGTCCTGGCTCATCCTGGCCCCAGGATCGGTGCATACGCCCTCCGAGCTTGGCGGGAAGACATGCGCAGACACCAATCCTGGGCCCGCGACCCGCCTGGCGCGGATCGGTGCAGGTCTATTAGTTGGCGCCCTCCCCTCCGATCCTGAGCCCGGCCGGGAGAGGCGGGAGGCGGCGGCCAAGGCGCTGAGGTCGATGTTGCGAAGGTCGGCGGGCCCGCCCACTTTCCCATGAGCCCCGGTCCGCTGCGGAGTTCGCGGGGAGGTCAGCGCCACCACGCCAGACATCCGGCAAGGGCTGCGCCGAGCCGACAAGGCGTGAGCCAGCGGCTACGGAGAGAAGTCTGGGAAACCGTGGTGAACCGTGAAAAATCGGGAGGGCGAGCCGCGAGACCCTGGAAACGAACCAGCACACGCCGGGAACGGACCGGGAGATGCCCCGGCTCTCAGATCACTTTGATGTCGTGTGGTTTCCGCACGCTTCCGAACTTCCAGATTCGATCTCGAACTCCCCAGTTCATTCTCGGTTCGCCCCTCCGATGTCCTTCTTTCTTTCAAGCCACAAAGCCCACATGCTTTAACACGGCCTCTCGGGACAGACCGTCTGGCCTGTCGGCTCGCGCGCCAGCCGTTCGTTTCGAGAGCCAGGCGAACGGACATGCTATATCATACGACAACGCCCCAGGCAAGAGGGGTGAAAAGGCAAGTGCTGAACTACTCGGGTGCGCCGACGACGGGGACCAGGAAGAGGGGGCCGCATCACGGCCCGAGGCATGTGCGCGGACGAGAGGGGGGGACAAGGAACGTGATGAAAAAAGAAGAGGGCGCCACAAAGTCTGGGAGATATCAGGTCCCCAGCCATGAGATCCACACACGACCCTGGTCCTCACCCCACTCTCGAACGCCCCCGGACTGAACCGCGCTGCTCCCCTCACCCCCTGTAGCAGCGATGCAAAACACCAAAACCACCGCCCTCCTCCCAGGCAGTTCCCAGACATCCGCCTTCGTGACTTTTTCCAGCGTGGCTCCCGACAGGTCTCCGACCCTTCCTGGGGACCGGCTCCGTCCCGAGTCCTTTCTTAATGGCCCCAGGGCCCAGCGATAGCTCTTGAGGGCAAGGAATGGACCAAGCACCTTCCGTCGTGATTCTTTTCCACGACGCGAGGATGCAAGGGCTGCCCTGAGCAACACTGCCCCCCCCCGGAAAATGGCCCCAAAGCTTTGGATGCCCGACATGGGCAAGGGAAAAACGGGCACGATGCTCAACGGTAAAGGTTGCCCAAAACCCACAACGACCGCTGTTGGGCAGGCGGCCTCCTGTCCCAAGTGGACCACGTCCGCGGCGACATCGACAGAGAGTCTGTCTGGTTCAAATGAAAAAAATCGGCTACACGCAGGAGCGGCCCTGGGTAAGAGTGACCTGCGTAGAAGAAGAAGAAGAAGAAGAAGAAGAAAAAAAAGAAACGGCATAAACATAAAATGTTGGCGTTCCGCGCGGATTCCATGGATCCGCGCTGGGCCCGCCTTATGGTTATGACGGTTTTTTTTCTTCGACTTTGGTGCGCGGCTTTTCGGGGGCCGCGGAATGGCCAGACACCAGCGCGCAAGACGCCACTGCCGCCCCGCGTTCGTCGACCGGAGGACCCCAGTGGGCCCGCACCAGAGGTCACTCCGGTGAAGGGTCACTCTTTCGTGCAGTCGAAGAAGGAACTGCCGTCGGCCTGTGTACCCTGTCTCTCTGTACCTATCGCAAACGCCCCGAAAAGCACTCACCCCATCGCCCCTCTTCCCAAGCGCTTCGGGCCAGCCCTCGCTCGCGCCACGGACCTGTTCGGGCTGCTCAATTCACCCTCCCAGCGACGGCCCGATCTGGTTGTCGGGCCGCCGACTACCACGAACCTCTCGACCCCTTCCCCTCCCTCACGTCCTCGCGCTGGCGAGAAGCCACGCCAGGATGTTGGATTGCTCCGGTTTACCATCTTCGGCCTCTGGGGTCCTTTGCCCAGCCCCGGGGCCGTCAAAAAGTGAACAGGCATGACGAGCCAGTCCTCGGGAAAGGGTCCAGATCTCTCGTTGGCGGCGAGCGAGGGGGGGCGGGGCTTCTCGGAAGGCTCGGAAGTTCCCCGGCCTCCTGAGAAGTTTTCTAAGCCTTCCCCCAAGACACAAAAAACTTCTCAGAAGGCGCGAGGGCTTCTGAGAAGTCCCGCCGCCTTCTGAAAAGGCCTTCTCCTTCTCAGTTCCCCCCCTCGCTCGCCGCCGATCTCTCGGGGACCACGCTTGGAAAACATCAGGACCCCGGCCGTCTGGGCGGGGCCACCTCTTCACCCCGAGCCGCTCTCCCTCGGCACCCGGGGGAGAGGCCACCCACGGCCACGGACGCCCACACCCGCGACAGAGCTCCGGCGCGATGTTTTCTCTCGAGCCTGGAGGAGGAGGAGGAGGAGGAGGAGGAGGAGGAGGAGGAGGAGGAGGAGGAGGAGGAGGGAGGAGGAGGAGGAGGAGGAGGAGGAGGAGGAGGAGGAGGAGGAGGAGGAGGAGGAGGAGGAGGAGGAGGAGGGAGAGGAGGAGGAGGAGGAGGAGGAGGAGGAGGAGGAGGAGGAGGAGGAGGAGGAGGAGGAGGAGGAGGAGGAGGAGGAGGAGGAGGAGGAGGAGGAGGAGAGGAGGAGGAGGAGGAGGAGGAGGAGGAGGAGGAGGAGGAGGAGGAGGAGGAGGAGGAGGAGGAGGAGGAGGAGGAGGAGGAGGAGGAGGAGGAGGAGGAGGAGGAGGGGGAGGAGGAGGAGGAGGAGGAGGAGGAGGAGAGGAGGAGGAGGAGGAGGAGGAGGGAGGAGGAGGAGGTGGAGGAGGAGGAGGAGGAGGAGGAGGAGGAGGGGGCCTCCTTTGGCTCGCCCTTTGCCCAGGCTGCTCTCGAGGCCTTCCACGAGACACCCAGCGCCCCAGCTTGCTCGACGCGTGGGCCCCCCCGTGGCCGGTTTTGCGTCCCGGGCCGTTTTCTTTTTCATGCCGGCACCCTCACCGAGAGCGTCGTGCAAGGCCAAAACAATTTGAAGGGGCCCCAGGACACACAAATAAATACACACAAATCAAATTATCTCCCATATTTCCCCATATTTTCTGGGTTTCTGTCTTCCCCCCCACTTCCCATATTCTCCCATATTTTCTGGGGAATCGAGGATTACTTGTGTCTGTGTGTTTTTCTCTCCTGAAGTGCCCTCACCGAGAGCGCCGCGCAAGGCCAAAACAATTGACGGAGCAGAGAGCGTCGAAGCTCGATCGATACCCCGGTTCTGAGCCCCACGTTTGGGGAGCCCGCGAGACTATGAACAGGCGCACTTCCCGAAGGCCGCGTCGGCCGCCTCATCGCAAACTGGGGCGGTGCCCCGGACCGGAGGCCTAGGCACTGCGGCACGCCAGTCATGCCACTGAAGGGCAACGAGAAGGCGAGCACTCAGGACGAGGAGAGCGAGGAGTCCTTCCGCGCCCCCCCGCGGCGCACCTGCACTCCGATTGGTGTCGGCGTGTCGACACTGGAAGCTGTGACGCCACCACTCTCAGCAGTCGCTGCGGGGAAACCGTGCCCTGCCGCCTCCTCCTCGGAGAAGACGCCAACAGCACGCCCCCCGGGACACGCCGGTTCCAGGTCAGACAAAAGATCAAGCTGGACAAACACGAGCTCAACAACGTCGACCTCCCTCTCACCAGATGTCGTGTCTGTCTCAATCGTGCTGAGAGTCCGCCACATGCTTGTGTAGCAGGTACGCCGCGCCCGAGCCCCATTTCAGCTGGCGTCTCCTCGCCCAAGCGCCCGGAGACATGCTGAGACACTGACGCCGCCGTGCCCGAGGCCCCGGACGCCGCCGCGCCGCGGCAGACACGAGAGAGGCCACGGCTCCGCCGTCGACCACACAAGGTCTGCCGCGACGCGGCCCGGCGGCGAGGCAGCCCGTCGCCGCCGAGGCGGCAGGGCGCTGCCAAACGTGGCAGCGTGGAGCGGCCCGGCGGCGCTGGATCGGTGGCAAGAATGCGAGGCGGGGTTCATCCAGATCCACCGCCTGGGGCGCAACGTCCTGGTGCCCCAGCGGGCGGTGGAGATGGACACGTTTTGGCCCCCGGGAGCCTGAACATGTCCATGTCCACCGCCTGCTGGGGTCCCCGAAAATGGATCTTCCGGGCGGCGGTCATGTACAAATCCCGCCTCGGAGGGAAGAGCACTGAGCTTATGTACAGACCTGCTCTTCGCGGTGTGCAGACATTCTCCGCTCTCGAGAACATGGGTTTCTGCTATTGAGCGCACTGCGGGCCGAGCGTCCTGGTGCTGGGAAGCCCTGTAACACCACGCGCCTTGAATCCCGCCTGGAAGACTGGAGCGCTGACTCCACAGAAGAGGGATGGCTGGGCGAGGAGCTGCTGCGCCAGCGGCCAGGAGAGAAGCGAGGAGGCAGGAGGAGGAGTACAGAGGAGGAGAAGGAGGAGGAGGAGGAGGAGGAGGGGGAGGTGGAACGCATAGGCAGGCAAGTATCAGGCTGCGTGCCCGACTCACCCGAGTCATGCACAAAAGAGGCAGCCGCAGCGGACGGGGGGAGGGGGGGAGGCAAGGGCAGAAACGCAAAATGCGCTGAGACTACAGTGCGCCGAGCGCGACCCAGAAGGGCGCGGCATGCCGAAGTCTATCAGTCCGAGAATATGACCACGCTACGGTCGCAGGTGGCTGACCGAAGACGGCGCGGGCAGCGAGGAGTGGCTATACTGACGCCCACCAGTCGCAGTGATGTCAAGTAGCATGTCGATCTTTTTGTGAGCGTTGTCGCACGCCTCACGCAGCGCCGTCAAATCGAAATTGGTGCTGGCCCCCTTGAGCAGCATGCATTTTTGCACAAAGGTTTTGATATCAACCTGCCCTTCGTGGTCTTTTGACTTGGCCATTTCTTTGAACAACGTTCGGATGTTGTGCTTCTTCAGATCCAGCATAGCGAGCAAGTGTGGGATACGCTTCTGGCTTAAGCCCAAATTGAACTGCTCTTGTGTCAGCCTCCCCGAGTCTTCTTCGTCCAATTGTTGACAGAGGTGTGTGAGCTCCCTGGCATACTCATGTTCCCGGCGACGGTATTCGTAGGCAAGCGTCTCTGGATCTGGTGAGAGAACCTTCATCGCCGAGTCTACAAATATGCCAAGAATGATATTCAGCAGATTCAGATTCACAAACACAATGAATGCTAAGAATAAGAAACTCCCAATCAGACCTGTTTCCTTAATCGTCGTGTACGCAATAGCCCAGTCCTCGCCACCCGTTGTTGCCATTAAAAGCGTCGTGATTGAACGTCCGACCGAGCCGAAATGCTCGCCAAATGTGGTATCATCCAGAGTTTCTCCTATTGCGTCGATGTGACTGGTGATGACCTGCATAAATAAAAGTGAGAATACCCCGTATACTGAGAAAAGCATCACCACACTCCACATGAAGTTGCGAAATGTGCCATGGATGCAAACAATGAAGGAATGAAGGTGTGTTGAGTGGCGCATCAACTCGAGCAGCTTAACCACCTTTAGGAGCGGGAGAAAGCGTAGCATGAACGTAGTGCCCAACACCAGAGTGGCACCATCGGAGATGACCACCGTCATGTTGAGCAGATTGACCTTCCAATCGTCTCCAATGAAAAACCAGAGCCTGTGCATGGCGAGCCTGAGAACTGCCTCGAGCACGTAGAGCACCAAGAACACCGAATTGGCAGCCAGCATGCTGCGATCGGCTGGACTTCTGATCCTAACATTCGCATCTTGGACCATGAACCAGATGTTGACGAGCACCACAGCCCCGAAAAACAGCTTGAAAACGGGGCCATCCACGGAGCTGGCGAGCCGCCCCGAGCGCGGCGGCTCCTCATTCAGCCACCACGTGCGGAGGCCCAGGCTCTCCGGCAATGCTTTCGACCTTTCGCTGACTTTTGCGAGCAAGCCATTGTGGTTATCTCCTCCGTCGTCCGCGGAATCGATACTGTTCACCTCCGAGGTCCCCATCCGACGCACGCAGGTAATTACATGCACAAAGTTGTCTGTGCTTGGATCTTCCTCAATCGGATGTTCCTCCCGAGATTGGGTGTCTTCAATGGACGACTCAGCGGCCCTGTCTGGATCTGATGTCTGCGTAAAAACTTCGTCATGCTGGATTGAAACTCGGCTCTCCGCCCTGGGGATCTCTGCCCCTCTCCCGGCGAGCGCAGCAGAACCACATCCGCCACCGCCAGCGGGAGGGCTCCCCACCCTGCTGGACGAGTCCAGTCCGAGGGTCGCTGTCCCACCAGAATGGCTGAGCCAACCTTCCAGGGCCGCAGTAAGTTCCGTCCGCACCGCCTCTCGCAGGGGCCCGTCGAGGCAGTCCTGCAGCTCCGCGCGCACGGCCGCGCGCACGGCACCGACGAACGGATCCAGGGCCGCGACTCTGGCTGCAGCGGCGCTGTTAGCATGAATCTTGTTCCTGCTGCTGCTTGGGAGGGAAAGCGTGGGTGAGAGCAGCTGGGGCTCCCCGCGCCCGTGCGGAGGAGACCGGGGGGGAGCCCGCGGCGGCGCGGGCACGGCATCTGCAGGCTCGGCCATCGTGGCGGGGAGCTCGCACCAGTGGCCTCCAGACGAGATAGGCGAAGTCAGACGCCTCACGGAGCCAGGAGGAACACTTGAGCCGAAATGGCAACGGGTTTTGCGTCCCGGGTCGTCTTGTTGACGGCCCCGAGGCCCGAAGGCGGGCCGCCAGGGGCCAAACGTGGCGGCAGACTGGCCGCCGCCAAATCTTTTCTCAAGGCGAAGAATGTTCGGGGAGCTGCCCGAGCCATTCCTTAAGCTTCCCCAACCAGCCCCTCACACACGCTGGCGCTTCCCGAGGCCGTGCGCACCAAACCTCTCCCATGTTGGCAAGTGCACGGCGCCAACATAATAGCAGTCCTGTTCCAAACATCCGGCGCTCCATTTTTGCTCGAAGCCAGCTGTTGTTCCCGGAGGTCTTGACTACCTCCCTGGGGCCAGCTTCTCTTCCTGAGTAATCTCGTTGACGATCCCGGGGCCCGTTGAAGGCCCCGGAGGCCGAAAACGGCTAAAAGCCGGCCGCTCCACTTTTTTGTTCGGAGCCTTGGATGGCCGGGGTGGGCAAGCGTGCCCAGCCGACATCCCCAGACCCCTGGCGCCAGGATTGCTTCATCACGTTTATACCCCCAGGGGTCTCGCTCCCGGGGCCCGGTTCCTCGCGCCCTGAATCGTTCCTCGAGGGTCCCGAGGCCCCGCGAGGGCACCCAGAGAGCAAAAACACACCAGAAAGAAACAAGGGCTCCCAACTTCGCGCTTCGCGCTGCGCGAAGCGCGAAGCGCGAATAACTTCGCGCTCTCGCGCCGCCCTCCTAAAGGGAGAATAGGAGGACGAGGAGGAGGGGGAGGAGGAAGGAGGACCGCGAAGCGCGAAGCGCGAATAACTTCGCGCCCTCCTGGGAGCCCTTGAAGAAACGCCCGCCATGACGCTGTCGCGACGCGAGGGGCTCTGGGTTGTCGCCACCGCCCCCTCCGCACCATCACCGGGGGCGACTCCAGCGCAGGGCCCAGTTGGGCCCCATCCGGATGCAAAAAGAGCTCCTGGGGCGCGCGCAGGAGGAGGAGGAGGAGGAGGAGGAGGAGGAGGAGGAGGGGGAGGAGGAGGAGGAGGAGCAGGAGGAGGAGGAGGGAGTGAGGATGAAGGAAGTGAGGATGAAGGGAGTGAGGATGAAGGGAGGGAGTGAGGATGAAGGGACCCGGCGCCCGAGGAAGAAAACAAAAAGGCCCCTGGCGACGGGGTCTCGAGCACGGGGGCAGCCCCTGCTTCAAACTGTGGCAGAGCAGTGGACTCTTGGCCGCGGGGGTGCCCGCGCGCAGGGCCCCTAAACCCCTCCCACCCCACGCCACAAGAGGAGGAGAAGCGCGAGAGCCCAGATGGTGACTGCAGCGCAGCAGCGCCAGGGAGTAAGTTGTACAGATACTAGGTTATGGCACTGGCGAGTTGTACTAGGTTGCAAATACTAGGTTATTGCACTGGCGAGTTAGTTGTACAAATGCTAGGTTACTGTTGTACTGGCGAGTTGTACTACAGGGGGGTTGTACTGGGGAGTTGTACAGGGGGGGTCGTATCAGGGAGTTGCACTGGCACTACTTGTACTAGAGAGTTGCACGAATGATGTCTACGAGGGAGTTGTACTATTTTTTGACCTCTACAGATCCACCGCAAAGTGCAACCAGCTGGCAGGGCGGGACCTACAAGCTGTGGGAAAGGGGCAAACAACAGTGCCAAAGTTAAGCACCGTCGCCTGAGACCCCTACCCGTCAGCGCCGAAGAGACAGCTCGGGGCCGAGGCCATGCGCAGGTGCCCAAGCACAGCGTGCACCTGCCACAACATCTCTAGGAGAGGGGGCAGGCACACGTGACCAAGGGGACCCCGAGCTGCAAGCGCAAGAAAAAGGCCAGCTGCAGGGAGACTGCAACTGGACGCTATCTCGAGCCGACTGCCCTCGACTGCACAGGAGGACAACAGGCAAGACAGCGCCCTCCCACAAGGGCCACGATGGCACCGAGACGAGGAGGGCAAAGGCCGTGGGACGCGCAACGCACACACGCACGAGACGCGCACCCCACGCCAAAAAGAGGATAATGGGGCCCCGAACCAACGCTCAAAGCCACAGCAACATCCGCCGAACCACGGTCAGGATGGAGTCATCCCCGTGCTCGGGCCAAGAAGAGGTGCAC